TCCAAAGATGACAATAAAAAAAGTCCAAATATGACAAAGGGAAAAGTATAGGAGCTTAAATTGTGAACACCCAATTTATAGAAGGCTGTGGAGGGCAGGGGGAGCCCAAGACCCATCTGCAGACTATCCAGTCAGATTAAGCCTCTGGCAGATTCCCCTCTAGCCACAGGCAAAGGCTGTCGAACAGCTTTACCATGAGAGAGATTATTGTAAACTTGCTTATGCTGGATTGTTCGTTGGGCAGTTGACCTCCCTGTTGACCAAACCTCAATCTGTTACAGGCTCAGGTATTTCTTGCTTGTTCTATGACAAAATCGTCTTCCCTGGCTTTTTAAATATTGAGGGTGGTCTTTTCTTTCTTATGCATTATTTGTATTTTTATCTTTATATTATTATTATTATTTTAGCCCTGTCATTTTTGTATTGTTTTTTATTGTTCCTGTTGGGTTTTCCAGTTTGTGAAGCACAGAAGGAGTAGATGCATAGAGATGATAGCTGATGCAATAGATTGCTAGGAATGGGGGGGCACGAGATAGGGAGGGTAAGAGGATTGGGGAAGCAAACAACGAATGCAGGAGTGGGGAGGGAGCATTAGAACTGATTGAGATTACGTATATACAACTAGTTTTAAAAGTGATTAAACCATGGCAGGGTGTGGTTTGTGAATACTATATCAAGAAAACCAAGAAAAAAAGAAACCAACCTTGACCAAATGGTTACCATAGGTGAAGGGGAAAGAGTTGTTACATAGGGGGCATTGAGTTTATGTCAATGGTGGTAGCATAATTTGGAAAGGGGTATCACTCACTAATGGTTGTACAATACAAGAACGATACAAGTAATGTGGAATTGGAGAATGTTCTGTTGTGTATATTTTTGCCACAATTAGAAAAAATTTACATGAATAACAATGACTACATAAAAGAAGAAAATGTTCGAAAATTGTACAACTCTTCTTGAGATGATTGGAATATTGAATTGGATGACATGTGGATGAAACACCGAGGTAGACTAGCCACTGTAACGCCATTTTGTTGACTGCTGAATGACCTGCCTCCATCCCCCTCCCTTATTGGAAAGCCCTGTTGACACTGAACGTGAATCAGGACATTGTAATTAACCTTGTTTCTTTACTCGTGCTCTTTTAAATCTTGTTCTTCTTTAGTCCTGCTCTTTTTTGATGTTATAACTAGGATGTTATCATCAATCTTACTGTTCTTATTTTGTTAACGAGGGTGTTATAATCAACCCTGCTTTTAAGGTTTTTGTAACAGATGTACCCTGCAGCACTTGTTTGATCTAAGGAATGTTCATGTTAACTTGGCTCATCTTGCTTTTGTCATATCTGCTTGCTTCATAGGAAAGCCCCTGATAAATGGGTTTTTACCTTTATAAGATGGTTAGTAATTTCACTCAATGCTGCAGTCTGGAGGACATGCTAGGTCCCTGAAGTCAGGTTAACCAAATAAAAGACTTCTAATTTATAAAAATATTTTAGTGGCTATTAGTTATTTGAACCCGCAACAGTACTAATAAAACTGTTTAAAAAGAAAGAAAGAAACTCCTGTAGCTCGGGTCAGGTATTCAGAATGACACTCTCATTCTTCGAGACTTTAAAGCAGTCTTGTGGAGCAGATTTGCCCAGTGCACTGCATTGTTTGATTTCTTGACTGCTGCTTCCATGAGCATTGATTGTGGACCCAAGCAAGATTAATTCCTTGACCACATCAATCTTTTCTCTGTTCATCATATTGGTCCAGCTGGGAAGGGTTTTGTTTTCTTTACATTGCGTTGCAATCCATATGGAAGGCTGTAGTCTTTGACTGTTATCAGGAAGTGCTTAAAGTCCTCCTTCCTTTCAGCAAGCAAGGTGGTCAACTGCGTGTCAAAGGTTGTTCATAAGCCTTCCTCCAATCCTGATGACATAATCTTCATATAGTCCAGGATTTTTGATCATTTGATTAGCATACAGATTAGCTAAGTATCGTGAGAGGATACAACATACAACTCTGTGACGCACCTTTCCTGATTTTAAATCACCCAGTATGTCCTTGTTGTGCCTGAACAACTGCCTCTTGGTACAGTTTCCTCATAAGCACAATCAAGTGTTCTAGAATTTCCATTTTTCTCAATGCTATCCATAGTTTTTTTCTTTTGATGATACATACAGTTGAATGTCATTGTATAGTTTATAAAACACAAATAAAAATAAATAATAACACAAATAAAGTAAGATATAAACTAAGTCCACATGGAAGAAGCACACCAGCCTGTATGACCCAAGGATTGTAAATAATATGATCCAAAGGATAAACAATCCAGAGGAGAAAACAACAGGACCACTGGTTCCCAGGGGGACACAGCAGCGGGGGAGGCGGGGGAAAGGAAGGGTGCGTTAACAAACCCAGGGACATTACTGAAACCCGAATGAAGGCCGAACATGATAGTGGGAAATAAAGGAAAGAACTAGGAGGCAAAGGGCATTTATAGAGGTCTAAATACAGACATGTACATATGTAAATATATTTATATATAATGATAGAGAAATAGATCTGTGCACATATATTTATATGTTAAGTATCAAGGTAGCAGACAGACATTGGGCCTCTACTCAAGTACTCCCTCAACACAGGAACACTTTCTTTTAATTACCTGGCATTTTGTGATGCTCACCTTCCCAGCATGATTGCTGAAGACAAAATAGGTACATAAGCAAATGTAGTGAAGAAAGCTGATGGTGCCTGGCTATCAAAAGATACAGTGCAGTGGTTCTCTACTTTCCTAATACCGTGATCCTTTAATACAGTTCCTCATGTTGTGGTGATTTCCCAACCATAAAGTTATTTTCGTTGCTACTTTGTAACTGCAGTTTTGCTGCTGTTATGAATTGGGTGACCCCTGTGAAAGGATCCTTCGACCCCCAAAGGGGTCATGACCCACAGGTTGACAACTGCTGATATAGTGTTTGGGGTCTTTAAAGGCTTGAAGGTAAACAAGTGGCCATCTAGCTGAGAAGCAACAAAGTTCACATGGAAGAAGCCACACCAGCCTGTGTGATCATTAAGTGTCGATGGGATCAAGTATCAAACATCAAAGACCCAGAACAAAAAATCATATCAATGTGAATGAGGGGGCGTGCGGAGTGCAGACCCAAAGCCTATATCTAGATAATTGGACATCCCGTTGCAGAAGGGTCATAAGGAGGAGATGAGCCAGTCAGGGTGCAGTAGAGCACGATGAAACATACGACTTTCCTCTAGCTCTTTAAGGCTTTCTCCCCCTCCCCCTCCCTGCCACTATCATGACAGAGCATGTCCATTGGTACAGATAAGAGCTGGAAACGGAATCCAGGACAGATAAACCCCTCAGGACCAATAATGAGAGTAGCAATACCAGG